GAAGTATTTCTACTACTAACTGCAATAAGGTGGTTTGCAAATTAAGGGACTTTTATTGAGACACTTAAAATACACACAGCTGGGAATGCCTGGGGGAGAGGCAGAATAACCACAGCAGTTGTCTAGATTTGACGGATTGGATTCAGATCCCACACAACCTTCAGAACACAGTTGCATCCAGTCTGGTCACGTTTATCTTCACAGCCAGAGGGGTCTATGCACACCACCGCCCACATCCCAGATGAAGCCTCAGAGAGTTGGCTCTCTAACTATGTGAATGGTGACAATCGTTTATCTGCCTTGGAGGCACGAGGATTTCCACACTCTGCTTTGAGAAGCTCAGAGGTAGGGTGGTGATGTTGAAAAAATATGCACTAACCTAAAGACCTCAGTCTCATGGGAAATCAATGGGAAATCAACACGTCATGCATTAAGAGCTTTAAAGTCACCATTTACTATACTCTGTTTTCCAGGTTGGCTTTGGAATTCATCTCAGGCAGGCTTGGTGTGGTTTTGAAGTGTAGACTGAACTTCTCCAAAGGAATTATTTCTTTCACCTAATAAATACAGAACACCACACCGAGCAACACTTAGCCATGAAAGGAATTAGTTGTGATAAGCCTGCATAAATATTGACTTGAAGTTACAGGCTGATGCCTTATGGAAAAAGTACTCTGTTGCCAGGGGCAGAAGAGGCAGAAACATGACAACTCTGCTTCCACCTAATTTTGTCCTAACTTTTACCTTGTTCATCATCTTTTTGTTTTATGTTGGGTTTTTCAATGTCGAGGAATAAAAGCCAAGATCATTGCCCTGTAAAGGTTCCCTTTCTTTCACTGTCTCTTTCTAAGGTCCTTATCTCCTCTTATATCACAAGTGACTACACCAGAGACACCGCAGATGAATGGTTCATGAAGACTGAGATGCTGATCTCCTAGCATCTCCTCTGCAGAGAGGCTGTGAAATGATGGTCCAAATTACAGAGACAACAGAATAACCAAAACCACAGATTTAAGTTCAAATGCTGTTTTTTGCTTTTTTTTTTTTTTTTTTTTTGAAGTCAACTTATAACACTGTAACTAAGCAAGAAAACCTCCATGGAAAAAGAAATAAAAGAGCCCTCGTGTTGCAATCCAAACCCAAGTTCTCCTAAATCTCATTCTCTCTAAAATCCAGAAATGCACAGATGCATGAATGCTGACCTGTGGATAGGGTGTCAGAGAAGAAAGCAACAAAAACAAGCAAATTTGGCATTCACACGGCAGCAACTTGCTTGTCTTTCCCACAACTGGAAGAAGGCAGGGAAATGTACAGGTTTCCAGTTCTGACCAGTCTTTAGATTTAATCAACAGAACTGCTTTTTCAGAGAGGCCCTTGTAGGTCTTTAAGGCTATATCCAATTAAGCCAAGATCACGCATAACATCAAAGAGGAAAATCACATGCTAGCAAAGGGCATGCTGAGTGGTTATTCATTAACTAGAACATTCCCGCGGCAGAAGTTTTGTAAACATTTTGAGAAACTGGATTTCCAAGGCTAACGGATATCCATAAAGCTCATGAAAGACACTGCAGTGCTCTGTCTAAATTCTGTGTGTGTCTGCTCAAGAGTTGTGAAAGCGCTGTGGTATTTTCAATGGTACATACTCAGAGTTAGAGCATGTTTTCAAAATTTAAGAATGCTGTTAGTCAATGGTCTCCGTAACTACCGCACACAGTCAAGGGTCACATCTCAAATCTATTGACTCCAATCCAGCAAGAAGAAAGGAGGGAGAAGACCTAGGCAGCAGTTCGGCTCCTTGCTCCTTGACAAATCACTTGGAAAACAACCGCCTGCCTCTCCAGCCCTACCGCAGCACACATGGCTGGTGAACCAGAAGGTTCTGCCTTTTCCATGCTGCCCCTGAGCAATTCAGGCAGCAGCAACGTTTTCAGAAGCATAACGCCCAGGGGGCTGATAATTTCAACACAGAGCCTGTACAGCGTGTTCCCTCACTGTGCAGCAGAGGATCTTCCTCCTTCCAGAACATGCTCTTGGTTTATGGACCAAACTGATCAGAAAGGGCCAGTTAAGGGCTAGGGAACTGGTCTCAGATTAGAGTACCTGAGGCACCCCTCAAACTCGAATCAGTAATTGACACTGAAAATGAAAGATCAGGGGAAGGGTCTTCAACAGCAACACAGGGAACAAGCCCTGGCATGGCCATGTAACACTTCATACGGAGCTTTAAACTGTTATTTTCTTAACAGCTTTGTGCTTTGCTGTTCCCCAGCACTACATGCAATTTTGAGTGGATCAAATGCAGGCAGTATTTCCTTCTTCTCTACAGATGTTTTAAATGTAAAGGAGAGGAGGAAAAAAACAAACAAACAAACAAACAAACAAACAAACAAAAACACAGCAATGGCAGAATTTTGTTCCTGTTTCACTCATTTTCTTACCTACAAGCCTTCTCCTACCCCACAGTCAATGTGATGCCAGCAGGAGATAAGGTCCCTGCCCTGGAGTTGAGCACAGCTGCACAACAGAGGTTACTGCTTAGAAAAAAACAAGTCTGAAAGAAGAGCAGACATAGCTACTGGCTGGAAAAGAAGCGAGGCAAATTTTAAAACATCACCAGGAGCTTAACACAGCTGGATTAGGGCTGCTACTCTTTCTCTGGCCATAGCCAGTGCCGCTTTCTTCTCCAAAACTGGTCACTCACATGCCAGCCGATGTTCTCACCGCTGCATGCAGTAGCAAGTCACCCTCGGGTATCCATTCCTTTCTGCACTTACTGTGTGCCCCCTCAGGAGGTTCCCACGATGCTTCTCAAGCAGAGAGCATCTTCTCTGATTTGGGCTTAAAAGACTTTTGGCTCTGTCTCTGTTCAGATGCCACCTTCTGAGCAGCCATTTCTCCTATGATGTGACCTTCCTCCAAAGGACATTTCATTTTCCAGGGCCTAACACCATGCAGCTTTCATCTGGATTTCCAGCAGGGGTTCTACAACTTGCATCCTCACGATGGTACGTCTCTGTCATGTCACAATGTTGTGATTTCCCTGTAGTTCTTCCAGTGAGCAGTCAATGGCTTTCCCTGTTAATTTTCTTTGCTGTGTTGTATTGCACAGCTTAGAATTTATCTATCTGATTTATTTAAGTGTATGGGCTGGGTTTGCAGAAGGCTAGCTTTGACCATTTTTACACATAGGTATACAATCTGCAAATGAAGTTACAAGAATTCTTGAAGCCAATTAGTAAGATGAGTGTAGTTGGCTTAATTTGCCTGTTAAGTCACTGTAAAGGCTTAACTGAAAGTCCAATTAATGATCATATTTCTGTTGACTCCAGTGGGACATGGACCTCGTTAAACATGTGCACCATCATTCTGAGCTCTCTGATCTAGGGACCTCACAGCAACACTCTTGACAGAACATGTGTGTAGGAAAGGAACTGAAACAAATGATATTTAGAGGAAAGCAAATGAGCAGCATGGCCTTTGTCATTCAGTCCTCTGCCCAAAGTGCTGCAGCTTCATTGGGGTCTTAGACACGAAGAATTGCTGCGTCAAAACATATGGGGAAGGAGTAAACAGCTGAGGTCTTCTTGGAGAGGCTAAGGCTGTGCCCTGGGGCAAAAAGGCAGCTGCCCGCAAAATTATCAGTTAATCCTTTATTAAATTTCCAAACATTTCTCAAATAGTTAGGTGTACAAACAGGGCACAGACAGCTCTAATTTACACCAATACCTTGAAATGCGCTTGCACGCTTGATACAGACATATCCACATCCTCCTGGGCATGGAAACTCCAGCAAGCATGGAAAACGCTGGCCTCAGGAGGAGGTTACAGGGGACAAACAGCTTTCGGTGCCATGTCAGGGGAAGGCAATAGCTGATCCCTGCTCTAGTTCTGCAGGGAGCACCCCACCGGTTGTGATTCCTTGTTTCAGGGCATTGCCCCTGCCTGCACACAGCACCCTCAAAAGCAGTGAGGTCACTACATCACCACCGAGTGCTGCAAGCAGAGAGCTGCTGGGCTTGCAAAAGGACAAATGGCAGCAGGGAGGGACACATCAGGGAGGAGCACATGATGACCGTATTCGTATAAGCCCCGTGTTAAGATCATTTCTCACACTTCAGAACATGACGGTTTAGCCCTTACACTTGGATTTCCTGCTCCAGCATAGTTTCTAAGGCAGCACCAACATTTCCCTCTTTCCCCACCCACATTTTTTATCCTTACCACAGAGGCAGTTTTCCCCCCCTCAGCCCCAGCACCGTGGTACCTTACATCACTTGCTGTATCGCTCCCAGACATGTGTTTCCCTTCCAGCTGACACATTTTGAAAGCCAGCCTCCTCTTTGCCTTCCTCCCCTCAGCACTGCCATGCTCTGCCTCTACAGGTGTACATGCACTGCAGAAGAAAACTGGCCTTAAAAAATCTCTCTGCAGCAGGTGGAAAGGCAAGTGCAGGCTGCAGGACAGCAGAATCAAGTGGCAATGCAGCACTTGCAGCAGGACAGTGCACTGTAAGGATCCACTTCAGTCCATCATAAATCTCTGAATCCAGGGACTTGTTCTTCTGCACACATGCACTTTTACCTATTTATCATGTTCCTTTACTCCCTCTTTTCTTGCCTCCCACACAGACAAGATAAAAACCCAAACTCTTTTCCCCGGTATTTTGCCAGCCAGCCAGGCAGCAGTTAGCATCCCAGGTCCAGTTCCCCAGCTCCTCTCAGTGATTTTTGCTCAGAAGCTCTGCAATAATCTTGTCTCAAGCCACCTCTTTCAGGCAGCCCATCATTCATGGGTTATTATGTAGAGGAGACAGTATCAGCTGGCCAACTACAAACAAATGAACAAAGAAGTAAATAAATCATTCATGAAATGTCAGCATCTGCATTGTTTCATGCCTTTTGTTTCGGTGCTCTCATCTGCCTGCACATGCAGCCCCCATGACTTCTCCGAAACCTGGCTTCACTAGCAAAGCAGAACAGAGTGAGAGAACAGACCTACCTTTACGGAAACTAAAACACCGCTTAATTTTCCTGTAAGTAGTTTTAGGAATGAAAGGAGGTGCCGCTAAGGCACCTGGGCTGCGGACTCCAGCATTTCTGTCTTCAGGCATCATACAGGCCAGAGACCCCACGTCCCTCCAAAGCTTTCCTTTAGCAGCTGCATCCAGACAAAACACCAGGGCTGCTCATCGTTACTGACTGCTGAGGAGTTTCTGTAATAGAGTATTTTCCTCTGGAGCTAGGAGATTAGTGGTCTTCTAGCTCTTGGAGAAAGCTTGAAGTAATTTTAGTGTTCTCTTCCCTGCTTCAGTTTTGCTTTAGGGAACAATTTCCTTCCGTCTCTCTGTTTCCTTTCGTTTCTTTTATTTCCTGCGGTAAGACAACCGTCTATTATGCAATGTCACAACAAAAGAGTTTCAGCAGAAAGATGTATCTTCCATTCAAACAGAAGTGCCCGCACAGACAGAGGCGGAGAAAGACCTCGTCCTCCCAGCTGGAACAGGGGGTGGAGTGGCAGAGACTCCAATTCCACGGGAAAAGGTCAGCGCTCTGCGGTGCACAAGGAGAAAGAGGAGAAAATACCCAAAAGGCCACCAAAGAATCCTCTGGGATACGATACCCCTTGCCGGCTCCTTTTATCTCTGCAACGGAGGAGCGGAAAAAGCAGCCCCTTCACCCCAAGGGCTCTCAGTCCATAGCGGATTCCTCTCCGAAGGCCTTTTATATACCTGGCTGCCTGACGTCCGCGTGGGCTCCTCGTCCGACCGCCTTCGAACTACCAGCAGCTCTCGTGGGAGAAACACGTCAGATGCAGCAGCAGCAAGGCGTCCTTGCCAGCAGGATCCCGGGCTGCCGCCGAGGAATACATGCCTCCACACGGGGATGCTCTGCTCGCTCCCTCCCGGTCCCACGCCTGGCAATGGCAGCCACCGCCGCTGCGCCAGCCCCTCGCATGCAGCAGGTGCAGGGAAGCGGCGGAGAGGAGGGAGCTGCTGCTGCTGCTGCTGCTGCTGCTGGTGCAGCGCGGCTGCCTCTGCTCCACCGGGTGACTTTGAGTTGACTTCAGGCGGCTGTGGCGGGCGGCAGCTCGAGCAGCAGGCAGGCTGTGCCCAGCTCCCGCAGGAGGTACCAGACCTCCTGCCACGACCCTGCAAAACGCTCGCGCTCCTTCTCGCCTCCTCCCTCCCCCGTCATCGCAGGCTCTGCAGTTAGAGGACAGGCCTTCCCCTCCTGGAAAAAAACTGCCTTTTAAAATCTAATCAGGGAAGGAATTTCGTGTGCAAACAGGCATTACATGCCCTGGCTCATTTACATTTCTCTTCCCTGACAGAGATTTTTCCACAGTCACCTTGTGCTTGTCGTGCAAAAAACAAGCTGTTTCTGATCACCACAGCGGCTTCCCTCCTCCCTCCCCTCCTCTTCTCTTTCTAGCACAGGTTAACAAATAACATTTTAATGATACGGTTAATCATTCACAGAGCTCCTTGGTACCAGGAGTCCTTTTCCACTGCAAGCCAAACTTCACGTACAGGTGGCTCACCAGGACTCAGAGGCATCCATTGAACACACACACGCACACACACAAGTTGCTTACAGTGTTTAAAAGAACCAGAAAATTCAAATACATTGCTCATGAAAGTGGCACGCAACTTTTATGACACCAGACTATTGTGGTTTAAAGTGTTGAAATTTAGGAAGCAGCTAGAAAACAGGTACTGCGATTAATCAGCTGTCTGAAATAATTTTGTGTTGCAAGAAATGTTTTAGTTACTGGTTAGTCATTATTATACAACCACAACTTTTCTATATCTTGTTTATAGCTAATGTAATAGATTTTTTAACTTCAGAGGCTACAGCTGATCAAGACAGGCTCTTAAACACCTTAAGCCAGAGGAACCCTTCTTTAGGAGGGTCAGACTGTTGCAGAGCAGCTGTAAACACGTCCCTGTGGGAACAGGTAAGAAAAATAGGAGTGTGTCCACCCATACATGATTACAGAACAGCTAACAGTCCTTGTTAAGACTTCAGATATCTCAGAACGTCAACTTAAATAACCCATAGTTAGTCAACCAGGGAACATTGCATTGGCACAGTTCGTAATGGTGACACCTCCCTTGATACTGCTTTTACCTTGTACTGAGTCAGATGTTCTCCATAAACGCTAAACCCAAAATCACATACTGTCTATTCTCATGTTTTCCAGGAATTAACTGTTTGTTTCCTAATAAAGTAATCCTAAAGTCAGTGTATATGCTCAAGATATACAATAGGGAAACGAGAACACATTTATAAGTGTGTCAACTACAAATTTATTTAAGCAGTAATTTAAGGATTGCACCCTTCTCTTCTCTTTTTTTTTTTTTCTCAAATCATCTTGCAACTCCTCAGCTAGGTGCTTCTCTCAGTATTTGGCATTAAACACTCTTACAACAATGAGGGTGTCCTGCAAGTTTCCATGGTGGCTGGAAGGATTCCCAGCTGTAAAACAGAAATAGCTCTTGCCCTATAAAAGCAAATGAGGGGCTGGTGAAGAAAGCATGGGGTCAGGGCTCAGGAGATTTGGTTTCTATCTGTAGCTCTGTCACAGCCTCTGCGCAGATGGCGGCTAGAAACACGGCTTCACCAGACGTTAGCTCCCCACCTGTAAAATGGTGACACCTCTCCCTTTGCCCAAGTACTGCAGGGCTGCTGCAGCTCACTGTCTGGCATGGACAGATGCTGTGCTGGTGGAAAACAGGTATACAACACAGAGAGAGAGCTGCTCTCTGTGAAAAATACATCTCTGTTATGCACCCAAGTGTCTGCATTGCTGCAGTAGCTTACGCTGCCATTTGACTCGAGTGGGAGAACGCTGAAGAGCTCAACATGAGGCCTTCTTCATGAACAGAAGGTTGGGGATAGATAACCTTTGTGCTACGTGAGCATGTGCTATACAAAGTACGTTTCTCCCCTAGCCTAACTTCAGAAGCCCATGGCCCTCCCACCTCCCCACACCAACTCAATAAGCCTGTAGAAGACCACACTTTTGAGGATAAACCTCTCACTTTGTGGGTTTTAAAAACATCATCCTGCAAAACCTATATGCCAAGGACTGTACCAACTTATCAACACATAAGACCACTTCTCAGCAGGATGACTGCTTAGCATGATCTTTCCAGCACGTGTTTCCCCAGGAGGAACCAAGAGAGACAGAAATGTTTGAAGACATGCCAGGCAAGCCCCAGCTGACCAAGTCCCTCAGGGCAGCCCACCAGTGAGGACAAAGCCTTCTAAGAACTGAACAACCTGAACAAAACACAGAAGAAGATGGGGGGTGGCTTAGAAGGAAAGTTTTAATCAAAAAACAGTAGTTTCCTTCAGTCCCTCCCATCCTCTCTCCTGTGCTGTGTCTGACAGGTGAAAATAAAAAGGTGTATGCAGTCACCAATCACAGCTTTCTGTGATAACTGCTTTTCTCCATGATCAGAGACAACCCTGCCTTATTTTTCCATGCTAACAACACCTGCAAAAAGCAAAAAAAGCACACAATGCAATCCAGTTGCTCTTCCCATAAATTCAGTACTATCGAAATTGTTGGGTCTGCCCATCACAAGAAAAAGCCTAGCATACAGTGCTTGTGGCTAATACTCCAAGGCTCACTATCAGAGCATACAGATTTATAATAACATTGTCACTGGCAGGAGAATCACTGACAGCTTCTTCTAACATGGATTGTCTCTTAGCTGGTGACCAAAGGAATTACCCTAGGTCTCCCAGTGGAAATCTGATTTTGTAGAAGACACATCTGTGAAAACTTCCCTCACCTTGGTAACATGCTGTCCTGTGCTATCCCTATCAAGGAGAGTAGTTCCAGATAGTTTAAAGCTTTTAATTGAGTGCTTAGTGTAGGAACACACCTGATGCCTGTGCTGCAAGTGAAAACAAAGGACCTGTTCCGCTTTTTGGAAAGATCTAGACTGTTCTTGTTTCCTCCTCTTCAAATTCTGGCTGAGAGCGAGAGACGACAAAATCGCCCCTATGTCTTTGTGCAGCTTGGAGCCTTGCATGTTCTCTCGCTGACTCACCTCCTCCAAATGGTGCCCATATAACCCTGCGAATGGATTTCACCCAATCCTCCATGTCATTCTGCGTGCCCGCCATGAGAAGGTACGTCTCATGATTAGCTGTCATCCGCTCTCGGTCTGCTCCTGCAAGAGAAGATAATTGCACTTTAGAAACCCTTCTGCTTTCCTGCCAAGCCAGCTCCTGCCAGACCGACTGCTGAAAGTGGTAAAAGCAGCTCCGTGGCAAGCAGACACGACACCGTGCACTGGAGTGTTTATCATCAGCTACGGCATGAAAAGAAGGTCCTGTAAGTATATTCCCCATCAGACAGCGAGGAGCTGTCTTGCGTCCAAAAGGAAATGAGAGGATAAATGTCATCGGTAAACAAAACCAGCCCCATGCTGTTCCAAGAGCCACGGGGCCTGCACTCATCTGTAACCTGATATATGCACTGGAAGGTTTGCAGCAGTCACTATGCCACAACACAGAGAAGAAACGCGGCGAGAGAGAAGTGTGCTTTGAACGAGTGGGGACGAGTCCATTTTTGTTTTCAGGAACACTGTGTCGCGTTCCTGGCAATGACATTTGCTGCTCCCGAGCGGTGCTGCGAATCTCTGAGGAGAAGGCAGCTGATGCTAGGAGCGGGCACAGCACAACCCGCTGCTTTGGATGGGTCTCATGAGGATTAAGAGGGAACACACTGATTCCTTATTCCTTGTTAAGGACAGACCAGCACTGAGAAGGTGAAAGTCAGAACCTGGCTCACCACAGGTTTTCACGCCTCGAGTACTGCATCACTTCCATCCTAATGGGCACTACGCTAGCTCAAGAGCAGATGGGGATTCAAGCCACCCTTCCAGCTCTGCAGTAGGAACAAACCCTTCTAGAAAGACAGCACCAGACATTTTGAAGCCCTTTCATCGAGCCAACAGCATGTGCTATATTTCATGCAAAAACTACAAATCCCACGAGTTTCTGTGCTTATCTCTTTACAGCTTCTTCCATCCTTATCTTTGATTCTGGTCATATATAACCTAAGTATTTCTGTTCTTGCCTCAGGAACACTGCTAGTGCCATGCTCAGTGGCTAGCAAATCCAACCATGACTTCCTGGCACAACCATTATGAATAAACTCACTTGTATACACCAGGTTCTGCAGAATTAAGCCACACAACTGCAAAAATAACTTAAACACGGTTTTACAAACACAAGCCATATTCTCCTAGACACAGGCAGATCAAACTGACAACTCATTCTCAGGGTTTAAATCATTACTCAAAACTTAAATTTGAACTTGGAAGCAAATGAAACTCATCCTCTGCCAATTGCACCTATACATACAGCAAGCATGTGTTCCCACACACAGCATCCCAAGGACGGATGGAGCAACCTGAAGTACAATGCAGGTATGCTTTAGGATGTATCACAGTTTATAAGTCTGAAAAACACTATTTTTTTTCCTAAGACATTGTTAAAGGTAGCAAAGAACCTATTTTAAGTGCCAACACTATAAAAAAAAAACAGTGTGTGTTTTATTTTTTGGAACATTTTCAGTTACTACCATAGCAACTGCTACAAAACAAGGGCCTTTTATGCTTCATTCCACCATTTTTTACCTTTCACGGAATAGGAGGATGAGGGTATGGGAAGGAGGAAGCATCAGCAGTCGAAACAGCAGCACTCCACACCAACCCCGTCCAGCAGAAAGCACATGGTCAGGCCCTGGA